CAGGAAACCGGTGGAAAATGCATTAAGCAATGGTCCACGGGGAGAGATTGGAAAAAGCAAAAGGAACAACTAAAAACAATTACGCACAGCGAGTCCCCGCTGTTTGCGGGTAATTTTACAATATAGCAGAGATAGGAAAGATATGACAAAGCAGGGCGAAAACAGTGAGGACGAAAATTAATACAATCTTAGAAGCACCTGCAAACGTTTTTCAATATATATCTGTGGCTCTCTTCACGAGAATGGACTAACTAATAGCACATGGAAGGTACTGAAGAAATGATTCGTTCCCTTGGATTCTTGTTTCTAATCTACTGTAAAGATCGTCGCGGGTTTTCCTGACAGGCCAGTGTTTGTAATAAGGCAATGCAGTAAGTTTGGAGATAACACATTGAACTCGAACACGAGCACATAGCATCCTTGGATTCAATTGAATGTAAACCTACGAAACTACTGAAAGGGCTAGAGCCATGTTCATGGCGAATAGTGCTTTTCATGAAATCATTTTTCGGGACTCACCAGTAAATATCTCTGCTTTCCCTCTCAGGCTCAGTGAGCATAATAAAGGCAGAGCGGAAATCATCATGATGGAATATTTTCAGCGGTGCGAACAAACGGCCTTGTCGGGTTAACATCAAGCCAGAACCAATCTTGCCGAGCGGAGGGATCTGAATGTGAAATCATTTCGGCTCTGCAAATAATACTACTATGAATACCAACACCATGCCAGGTACTGGACATCACGTTCAATTGGACACGGCAAAAAAGGACACAATTAATTGAGTACCATACCTGTGTACAGATCGCATAGTTCATAAGCGCATCAGAATCCTGCCCCTTTACTTCAATCTTCCCTTTCCATGACATATCGATAACACCACATTTATTCGTAACCATCTGATATTCTCGGCTCAACGTGGATAGCATTCCTTCCTCATCTATATCGAAGACCTGTGGTACCTAAACAAGGAAAGCAAATATGACATCTAAAAGTATGGAGAAAACAACGGAACAGACGATATGAGCATATGGTCTTATTCGATGGGTCGTTCAACACAACGTACCTCCCATCCATTACGGAATGAGAAATGACCCTTGTCCCTCTTTAGCCTTCCATAGACTCCACTGACACGATCAGTTGGTCGTCCACCCAGTCTGTTCGTGTATGACCAGTTGTAAAACATTGAATATGTCTCACGACTTTTATCCACAATAAACCTGCAAGCTCATTTCAAGGACTCTTTCGTGCTAGAAATTATGCGAATCACTCGAAGCAAGCTCAAATTGGCTGGAAGGTTTTATGAATCTTACCGTCTCGTTGCCCATCTGTCATATCTACTTGCATCAGTATCAAACAATTCCAGTGGCGGTTCACCATCTGCCATCCAGTCAGCTATATATCTAAACAGAAAAAGGCAGATATGAGGAGCTCATGGTCTCCATACTGGGACAATACTGATAAGCATTTATAAACGGGGTGGGGTGCATGCCTCAAAGGCACGCACCCAGTTAATGAATGATGAGTTTGCGGCCTAAATACTAATTACAGGGTAGTGATTAACGCAGTAGTGAAGAAAAAAGCAGAACAACAAGTGGAAAACGCCCCATATGCAGCCCCCTGCTGAACCGTGGTTGCACGTGCATAAGGTGAAAAAGGGCGTGATTGGACAACTTCTCACTTGCTAGCTGTTTCTCCTTATCATCTCACTCTCACAATTCGAAATGGAGGGACCCTAGGGGAACATGGGCACCATCAGGAAGCCTTACAGGATTGGGCGTTTCCGTGGCCAATGGGCACAACCGTGTCCTCACGCGAGCAGGTCACGCTTTCCTCACGTATTTTTGAGATACCAAAGCAGTACATCCTCCATGCTTGTGGACAGGACTACCACATTCAAAAAAGGCGCCTGAGCGTCAACTTAACGCAGGTCGTGACTTTAAACATTAGAAAGAACCAGAAAATAAATATTAAAAAAAAGGGAAACGAGTGGGATACTTACCTTCCAATTCCACCACCACTGCTGACACCGTCCAGGAAACCAGTTGAGACCCAGTAGTTCTTATCGAACGGTCCAACCTAAAAACGGGAATTTTCATCGAATTAGTGGAATCAGTGTGAGCAACAACAAACCAATGGATATCCATCCGGAGTCATACTGAAAAGGGCTGCCTTGGCCTCTACTTGAGCATCTTTGATTGAAGGAATGAGCTCACACGCACGATTGTGCGCCTCCTCCAATCGCGAAAAATCTGGTTGAATAGCACGGGAGCCCTCTATAATATATTCGATGTAAAACAAAAACAAAATACATAGGTAGAAAAGCAACTCGCCCGCTGGAACTCCTTTTTGGTACCAGTCTTCTCGGAACACAACCTTATCCATGGGTTCAAAACCACCGAATATAAACTTGTCACCATATTTCCGAACATAGAAAGTGCTGTCATGATCTATTATGGCAGGTGTGTTTGGGGGAGGTGAGCTCGGCTTAACAGTGATGTCTCATGTATATAAGTCGAACCAAATTATCTGAAGCGAAAAATCAAAGGAAACGGCAACTCACCGTAAGAGTGGCATACTGATGCTCAGCAATGACCATTGGAAGCTCATGACCAGAGAGACGAGCAATATCGTTAGCCCAGATACCTCCAGCGTTCACAAGATTTCGCGCAGTGACCAACGATCCATCACTCAGTTCCACATGCCAAACACTCTTTTCCTATAGGAAGCGATTAACGAACAAGTGAACATGAGAACATGTAAGTTTAAAAGAAGAAAAATCTTTCTTCAGAATGAGGTTCGAATAACGTGAAAGTGCTTGAAAGTAAATAAATAAATGCAGTAAAACCTTGTCATATCGAATGGTTTTTGGTGAGGAAGTAACGACTTGTACACCTCCAGCTTTGGCACCTGTCACTAAAGCACGGTTGAGTCCTGAAGCTGAAATCATGCCATCGTTTGTTGTGTATAACGCACCCAGAATCTGAAGACGAAATGAAATAAAATTCATAGTAAAGAAGTTTCAAAGAGCTCCATATCTAGAAAAAAAAAGTTACTGAGCATCACTGAATCAAATCTGACTTGTTTAGTGTTGACAACAGGAGAGATTTTGGCCACCTCTTCAGGACTAAGCAGTGAGGTTTTACATACGTCTCCCTCCTAAATTCTACGAGTCAATCAAATTATGAACCCAGATCTTCATTCCATCAATTAGCAAGAATAGCATACCTTATAGTAGTCCCTAGCGACATAACGCTTAAATTCTTGAAGTCGAGTTGGATTAGTGGCGAGGCGTATGGTGCCGAGTCGTTCGAAGTTGAGAGCCTGAATCATCCTCACTGTGTAACTTGCTACGTTAAACGCTTGCTTATCCGAGAATTCGGTCTACCAGAAAAGCCATCTGAACACGCCCGAACAAGGCTGGGGCAGGTAGAGCCGAGGATAAGAAATAACCCAAATAAATCAAGCTTAGCCCTGCCCACGATGGGCGGAGTGTGCGAGGAAGTGAATAGTGTGATAGACGGAAATTCGTGGATCAATTGCAGAGCCACTTACCGTGAAAAAGTGTGAATCAGTAATGAGAATGTGGATGAGTGAGACAGATACATTCGCAAGTACTCTAAATGGGCTGCGGTCGCCTCTAAAATTCGTAACTTGATCCCTAGGCGGTTTGAAGATCAGCTGAGATCCGCCCCCACTAGGCCGAATGTACCTTTTGGTCCCAGCTAAATACCTCGAGAATTAGTAACCCGGTTCTAAAACGGTTCAGGAATCGGGAAATAGGAGATCACTAGTCGAAAATTCGCGAATCGATTCCAGAGCAGTCCGGAGAAAAATAGTAAGGGGCAGGCGGGCGAGGAAAACCATTTTACGGTCTGGTTGTACACAGTCACAGACAACTGCTACTGTTGATTTAATCTACCGGTTTTTGTGTACAGTCCTCATCATTGCGGACCGGTGGGGCGTGGCAGTGCGGCTGCTTTGGTGCGGTTTGGCAAAATCGTTCTGCACCAGTTTTTGAAGCGGGCAAGTGCATTACTGTATTATATCCTTCGTATTACTCGTTTTCTACCACTTTTTGTCGCATACGCGTTGCAACAAAAAAGGCTGAGAACGGCTTCAACAGTGTGCGCACTCCTTCTGGCTGACACGCCCCACCGGTCCGCAATGATGAGGACTGTAGAACGAGTAGCAAAACACACTATATTTTGAATTTCAGATAAAGTGGTTATACACCACTCCAAAACTGCGTATAAACGTAGGAGCATGAACCTCATGAACATGCGCAACAGCCACGACTCCTCCATGCCCTGTGCAATGCAACACTGCTCAGACTTA